TCCCCTTCTTTTTCCTTCATTTACTCACGTTATCTACCTCGTTTTTATTTTCTCGTTGTCCTGAGGTTTATCCAGCATTTATGACAGCTTCGAAGGTCGTGGTAATCAGGTAATCTAATCTTTTATTTCTTCATTTACTCACGTTATCAGCTTTCCTTTCTTCCTTTCCATTTTATCAGGTTTTCTCTACTTCTTTCCATTCATTTACTCACGTTATCTACCTCTTTTTTCCTTCATTTACTCAAATTATCCCCCTCCTTTCATCTCGTCATCCGCAGGTATCCCGCGTATTCATCATGACAGCTTCGAAGGTCGTGGTAATCTACGTTTTTATTCTATTTATTTATTTATTCATTTTCTTAGATCGTCCAGATTATCAGGTTTCCTTTCTTCTTTTTCTCCATCATTTACTCAAATTATCTCCCTCCTTCCATCCCGTTATCCCGCAGGTATCCCCGTATTCATGACAGCTTCCTGGGCCGTGGAAATCTACGTTTTTTTTTTTTTATCTGCGTAGATCGTCCAGTTTTCAGGATTCAAGTTTACTCTGTTTCTTATTTTCCTCATTCGCTCATATTATCAGCATTCCTTTCCTTCTCCTTCATCTACTCACGTTATCTACCTCTTTTTTCCCTTCATTTACTCAAATTACCTCCCTCCTTTCATCTCGTTTCCCGCGCAGGTATCCCCGTATTCATGACAGCTTCGAAGGTCGTGGTAATCTGGTAATCTAATCTTTTATTTCTTCATTTACTCACGTTATCAGCTTTCCTTTCTACTTTTCTCCTTCATTTACTCATATTATCAGCATTCCTTTCTTCTTTTCCATTGATTTACTCACGTTATCTCTCCTTTCTTCGTTTCCCCTTTTATTTACTCACGTTATCCCCCTCCTTTCATCCCGTTATCCCGCAGGTATCCCCGTATTCATGACAGCTTCCTGGGCCGTGGAAATCTACGTTTTTTTTTTTATCTGCGTAGATCGTCCAGTTTTCAGGATTCAAGTTTACTCTATTTCTTATTTTCCTCATTTGCTCATATTATCAGCATTCCTTTCCTTCTCCTTCATCTACTCACGTTATCTACCTCTTTTTCTCCTTCATTTACTCAAATTATCCCCCTCCTTCCATCCCGTTATCCCGCAGGTATCCCCGTATTCATGACAGCTTCGAAGGTCGTGGTAATCTACGTTTTTATTTTATTTATTTATTTATTCATTTTCTTAGATCCTCCAGATTTCAAAATCCAGGTTTCCTTCCTACTTTTTCCCTTCATTTACTTCATTTATCAGGTTTCCTCTACTTCTTTCCATCATTTCCTATTATCAGCTTTCCTTCCTACTTATCCCCCTTCATTTACTCACATTATCCCCCTCCTTCCATCTCGTTATCCCGCAGGTATCCCCGTATTCATCATGACAGCTTCGAAGGTCGTGGTAATCTACGTTTTTATTCTATTTATTCATTTTCTTAGATCGTCCAGATTATCAGGTTTCCTTTCTTCTTTTTCTCCATCATTTACTCAAATTAATCCCCCTCCTTCCATCCGTTATCCCGCAGGTATCCCGTATTCATCATGACAGCTTCGAAGGTCGTGGTAATCTACGTTTTATTCTATGTATTTATTTATTCATTTTCTAGATCGTCCAGATTATCAGGTTTCCTTTCTTCTTTTTCTCTCACCATTTACTCAAATTATCTCCCTCCTTCCATCCCGTTATCCCGCAGGTATCCCCGTATTCATGACAGCTTCGAAGGTCGTGGTAATCTACGTTTTTATTTTATTTATTTATTTATTCATTTTCTTAGATCCTCCAGATTTCAAAATCCAGGTTTCCTTCCTACTTTTTCCCTTCATTTACTTCATTTATCAGGTTTCCTCTACTTCTTTCCATCATTTCCTATTATCAGCTTTCCTTCCTACTTATCCCCCTTCATTTACTCAAATTATCTCCCTCGTTCCATCTCGTTATCTCGCAGGTATCCCCGTATTCATGACAACTTCGAAGGTCGTGGTAATCTACGTTTTTATTCTATGTATTTATTATTCATTTTCTTAGATCGTCCAGATTTCAAAATCCAGGTTTCCTTCCTACTTTTTCCCTTCATTTACTTCATTTATCAGGTTTCCTCTACTTCTTTCCATCATTTCCTATTATCAGCTTTCCTTCCTACTTATCCCCCTTCATTTACTCACGTTATCCCCCTCCTTTTTATCCCGTCATCCCGCAGGTATCCCCGTATTCATGACAGCTTCCTGGGCCGCCGTCATGTCCCTCTGGATGAACGTGGACTGCTGGCTCGGTTACTCTCTCACGCCCTATTACTGGATTCTAGAGGGACCAAGATTCACTGTCATTGGGGTGAGTGTGTGTGTGTGGGTGGGTGTGTGTGTGGGTTCGGGTGTGGTGGAGGGTGGGTGGTGGTGGGGGTGGATGGGTGGGGGTGGGGGGTGGGTGGATGAGTGGGTGGGTTAGTGGGTGGGGTGGATGGGGTTGTGTGTGGGGGGGGGGCAGAGTGTGGGGGGGGTTGTTGTTGGTGTGTGTGTGTTGTGTGGGTGTTTTTTTTGTTGTTTGGTTGTTTCTGTGTGCGTGTTTGTTTGTGTGTTATATGTATGGTGTTTCGTATATATAAAAATATATATAATTATATAAGAGAGAGAGAGAGAAACAGACACAGAGACAAAAAGAAACAGAGAGAGTAATGACGTGAATGTAACAAGACGGATGATAGAATGTAAATGTTTTTTCTCAGTCTATCTCCCTCTTTCTGGTTATATTAACCGAGTACTTATGATTCTCCTGATGTCTGAAAGTATTACTGATTTTGGAATTCCTGAAAGTTCTGCTCATTCTTCTGAAGTCTAAAAGTATCGCTGATTCTCCTGAAGTCTGAAAGTATTACTGATTTTGCTGAAGTCTGAAAGTACTTTTTATTTTGCTGAAGTCTGAAAGTATTTATTTTTATTTTGCTGAACTCTGAAAGTTCTGCTCATTCTTCTGAAGTCTAAAGGTATCGCTGATTCTCCTGAAGTCTGAAAGTATTACTGATTTTGCTGGTCTGAAAATACTGCTTATTCTTCTGGTCTAAAAGTGTCGCTCGTCTGAAAGCATTGCAGATTTCAGCTGAAGTTCTGAATGTATTCCTGATTCAGATGAAGTGTTGGTGTCTCATCCTGCATAAGAATAAATAAATAAATGAATGAAAAAGTACAGTAGTTATTATCATTATTATCTCTTATTGTTATGTTTCTTATTCCCGAAATTTATTTAATTGTTTGTATTCCCTTTTCGGTCTATTCTTTTGTTATTATTTAATCTATTTAATTGAGTCTGAAAGAAGTGCGAGGATGAGAGTTATAGTTATATGGTATAGTTAGGAATTTATTTATTTTAATCGTGATTTTCAGGTTCATAAACACTTTTTTCAATAGTATTAATCAGTTTAAGTTGTGTATCGTGATTTAAACGAAATATTAAAATCACAAAAGTAAACAAAATTATAATAAAAAATAAAAAATAATAAAATAAGATAAAGAAATAAAGAAAAAAAAGAAAAAAAAATTCTAGAAAGAAAAAAAGATTCATGTAATTTTTTTTTCCTCCTTCTTTCATAATGCAGATTTCTAATCTATATTCTCACAGACATTCTGATGCTAATTGGTCGTTCCTCTTCTTCACTCCCATCCCCAGGCAAACCTCCTGTTTCTCCTCAACATCATGAGGATTCTGATAAGCAAACTACGTGAAGCTAGTTCCAGTGAAGTGCAGCAAATAAGGTCAGTATCCTCACTCATTGTCGGAAGCCCCCCCCCCCCAAAAAAAAAAAAAAATCAATCAATAATAAAAAGTGGGGGGGGGAGGAGGTGTGTTATTAACTTGATTAGTTCGCTACAAAGGGGGTTTCTCGCCTGAAAAGAACACGGAAGAGAGAGAGAGAGAGAGAGAGAGAGAGAGAGAGAGAGAGAGAGATGAGAGAAGAGGAGAGAGAGAGAGAGAGAGAGAGAGAGAGAGAGAGAGTGAAATAGACGAAGAGAGAGAGAGAGAAGAGAGAGAGAGAGAGAAGAAGAGAAAGAGAGAGAGAGAGAGAGAGAGAGAGAGAGAGAGAGAGAGAAGAGAGAGAGAGATAGAGAGAGTGAATGAAAATAGACGAAGAGAGAGAGAGAGAGAGAGAGAGAAGAGAGAGAGAGAGAGAGAAAGAGAGAGAGAGAGGAGAGAGGAGAGAGAGAGAGAGGAGAGAGAGAGGAGAGAAGAGAGAAGGAGAGAGAGAGGAGAGAGAGAGAGTGAAATAGACGAGAGAAGAGAGAGAGAGAGAGAGAGAAGAGAGAGAGAGAGAGAGAGAGAGAGGAGAGGAGAGAGAGAGAAGAGGGAAGTGAAATAGACGAAAGAGAGAGAGAGAGAGAGAGAAGAGAGAGAGAGAAGAAGAGAGAGGAGAGAGAGAGAGAGAGAGAGAGAGAGAGAAGAGAGAGAGGAGGAGAAAGAGAGAGAGAGAGAGTGAAATAGACGAAGAGAGAAGAGAGAGAGAGAGAAGATGAGAGAGAGAGAAAGAAAGAGAGAGAGAGAGAGAGAGAGAGAGAGAGAGAGAGAGAGGAGAAGAGAGAGAGAGAGAGAGAGAGAGAGGAGAGAGAGAGAGAGAAGGAAGAGAAGAAAACGAGCTGTATTGTATGAAGTCGTGAACATCGAAGAGAAGGTGTACGAGATATGAAGGTCATTTTGAATAGATGTTATTATGTATTTTACTAAGATTCATTATCATTCTAAGCTTTGTGAGATAGACGGAGATTCTTCGGTTTAGATTACTTAATTTGTTAAAAAGTCAGGAATTAAAACGCCACAAACAACATCCAAAAAAAGAAAAATCATGATATATACCTCGTGATACATGCGTCAATACTACATATAATACAACAACAACAACAACAACAACAAAGAGTTTATAGTAAGACAAGATCCTGGACATTCGAACCGTATTACCATATCTTTGAGCCTATCTTTTCCTCCCTTCCCTTCCCTGCTTTATCAATTCCCTTTCTCCCCATGTTAAAGCTAACGTTTGGTGACCCTATGACCACCTAGGTACACGTGTCCTCTCTATTTCCTCTGAAACCGAAGGATAAACTGAAAATGACGGAGTGTAAACGAGGATTTTCGTAAAATCACCGCTGTTGAGGATTGGGAAGTCTAAAGTTTACGAACTAGAAGGGAAAGGTTAGATCAGTAGCAATTCGAGGATATATACATATATATCTGATTCTATTTTGGAAAGAAAAGCATATCGGGTTTATTTTGATGAAGCCACGAAAGATATGGATGCTTTGTGAATATGGTCGATCATTTTGGTCTCTCCAGCTTTTCAAAAAGGAAGGAAAATAATGGTTTTAATAGGTATATTTCCATTGAACAAGCATCAAAACAGACGGCATGACACCTCCTCGAGTTGCTGCTGATCTAGCCTTTCCCATGATACGAAGCTGATGGAAGGGGCACGTCACATCCCAGACAGGTACTGCACAATACACGATGTCAGATAATGTGAGCTATAGAACTTACGGTGCTGAATTCAAGTTGAAAACGACAGTGACTTTACGTCGGTAAAGTCACTGCCGTTTTTAACTTGAATTCAGCACTTACGCTGCTGAATTCAAGTTAAAAATTACAGTGACTTTACCGACTTTGTTTACTCTCCCTGTGTCAATACGTACAGGAGAGGGAGAGTCAGAAATACCGCATGTATGTCGAGGAAATTGGCCGTAGTCGGTACACAAATCCCCACCTGTGTTTCCCGTGTCATACGCTTCGAAGAGAGGAGAGAAATGAGGTGGAAACTATAACATATACAGCCGCTATCTCTTATGCAATGAGTTGGGATTACCACGCAATACACGTCCAGGGTATGAGGAGATTCCTAATCAGTTACTTAACCTCCCTTTGAAGTGATTCTCGAGTCGAGGAGGAGGCTGTTGCACCATGCAAGGAGCCCCCTCTCGTAGTGATCATGGTTGGGCCAATATAATGCAATATGACGAGAAGATGCTACAGAGAGCGGATCAGATTACAAAATTACGCGCAGAAAACCCGTCTGGAGTTATATAACTTGTCTCGAACGGCGCAGTAAAAAAACAGGCAAATTATTTACAGAGAAATGACTACCTGATGATTAAAAGCAAAATATAAACAGTAATAACTATCTGGATGACAGAAGCAACAGGCAAATTATGAATAATAATTTAAATAATAAATTATAAATAATACTAATATAAATAATAATAAAAACAATAATTTCCTGATAATAATAGTAAGTTATAACGACCCAATGACAACACAACTAACAGACGTAAATTATTTGCAACATAAATAACCACGAGAGAAAATGCCTTCATATGGAGAATGAATGGCACTATAAAGCTGCAAATGCGTATGCCCTGTTCTTAAGCCCAAGGGAAGGACACGAAAAAAGGGAGCAGGGAAGGACACGATAAAAAGGGAGCAGGGAAGGACACGATAAAAAAGGGAGCAGGGAAGGACACGATAAAAAAGGAGCAGGGAAGGACACGATAAAAAGGAAAGAAAAAGAAAGAAGTAGGATGGAAATTATTGCGTGAATCTTGGGGAGAGGAACTTGAGGCATTAAGAACAACGTTTATTAGACCACGAGTGAGAATTGCAACATCTGCGGCCGTGGTTGCAACTGTGGCATATGAAAAGGGAGGGGGAGGGAGGAGGTGGGAGGTGCGAAGAAGAAAGAGAGAGGGGGAGAGAGAAAAGGGGGGGGGAGAGTGTGTGTGTGTGTGCTGCATAACACTATATATGTGTGTTTATATTATACATGTATAATATATATCTTTATATATATATATATATATATATATATATATATAGAATATATATAGATATACATATATACTTGCATACACATAAATACATACATTATATATATATATATATATATATATATATATATATATATTATATATATATATATATATATATATATATATATATATATATATATGAAATATATACATATACATGAACATTATAACCTCTCCAATCGGGATTCGATTGTCATCATCGTTAGTATAAACACTATCATCATTTTGGAAGATCTTATTATTTACCATTATAACGTATTTATCGTCAGGCAAGAAACTATATCAAAATCTAAGCATACATTATCTCACGCACATGTACTTACACATACAAACATACGAACAAATATAAACAAGAAAATTCACAAAGAAAACAAAGATAAATAACAAAAAAAAAAAGATATGATAGAATTTTTTTTTAATTCTGAAAAAAACTTACTAATCCACAATTTTGTTTTTCCCCCTCTATCCAAATTCTTACCCCCTCCCCCCTCCACCCCTCCCTCCCTCTTTCTCGAACCATCAATTCCTGTTCCAATTTCTCCTTCATTCAAATTCCAAATATTTCTTCCTCCATTCCCACATTCCAATTTCTCCTTCATTTCAAATTCCAAATATTTCTTCCTCCATTCCCACATTCCAATTTCTCCTTCATTCAAATTCCAAAACTCCTATCCACGGTTCCAATTCCAACGTCTCCCCATTCCCATTCCAATTTCTCTCCCTATTCCAATTTCAAACCCCCATTTCCATGCCAACACTTCATTTCCATTCCCACCCCTGCCAATTCCTATTCCCACCCTACCAATTCCCATCCCCAACCCCTCCCAATTCCCATTCCCACCCTTGCCAATTCCCACCCCCAACCCCCAATTCCAATTCCCAATCCCTGCCAATTCCCATCCCCACCCCTGCCAATTCCCTACTCCCACCAACCCCAAACTCCCCCCCCATTCCCAACCCCAATTCCCATTCCCACCACCCCCAAACCCCCATTCCCATTCCCACCAACCCCAAACTCCCATCCCCCCACCAACCCCAACCCCCCCCCATTCCCACCAACCCCAAACCCCATTCCCACCAACCCCCAAATTCCCATTCCCACCAACCCCATCCCCCACCCCCCAAACCCCCTTTCCCACCAACCCCAAACTCCCATCCCCCCACCAACCCCAAACCCCCATTCCCACCAACCCCAATTCCCATCCCGCCATACCCCCAAACTCCCATCCCCCACCAACCCCAAACACCCATCCCCCCACCAACCCCAAACTCCCCCCCCCCATTCCCACCAACCCCAACCCCCCCATACCCCCACCCACCCCAAACCCCCATACCCCCACCAACCCCCCCAATTCCCATTCCAGACCCTCCGGAGATCCGTGCGCAACGCCCTCTTCCTCCTGCCGCTCCTGGGAATCACCAACGCCATCACCATGATTCCCAAACCGCTGGAACGATCGGCTTTCGAGTTCGGGGTCTGGTCCTACGGCACGAATCTGCTGACGTCATTCCAGGGTTCGTGGTGGCGTGCATCTACTGCTTCTTCAACGGAGATGTGAGTACGGGGGGGGGGTTGTTTGGGGTTGGGGTTGGGTGAGGGTTGGGGTTTGGTTGGGGGGTTTGGGAGGGGGAAGGGGGAAGGGGAAGGGGATGTTTGGGGAAAGGGTTGGGGTGGGGGGGGTGGGTGGGAGGGAAGGGATGGGTTGAGGGGAGGGGTGGGGGGAAGGTTGGGATAGGGGGAGAGAAGTGTAGTGGGGGGGGGGGGTGAGAAGGGAAGGGATTGGGGGAGGGTTTTGAGAGTGGGTGATTGGAGAGAAGGGGAAGTGGGGTTGGGAAGGGTGGGGAGTGAGGTGGGGTTGTTATATGGGGTTTGGGTGGGTTTGGAGGGTGGGAAGGGGAGAGGTTGGGGTGGAAAGGGAGGAGGTGGGAGAGGGGAGGTTGTGTAAGAGTGTGTAGGTGAATGTGAGGTTGTTTTTGTGAGGGTGCGTGAGGGGGGGGGAGGTGTGAGTGTATGCAAGTCCATGGGTGCATTAAAAGATGGTGTAATTACATTTTCCTATTAGCATTTGCAGTTGTAATATTATGAGTATTGATGCGAATTACTTCTTCCCTTGTCGTAAATCACCATTTTATCACCATAGTCAGTCCCTTCATCATCTTCGTTTTTACTGTCACTGTCATATGATTGCCTCTGTCATTCTGCAAAGTTCTGTGTCTCCAATCTACGTTTTATTATGGTCTGCCATCCCCCCTCCTCTCTCTATCTCTCTCTCTCTGTCTTGAACCCTATTCACTCTTTCTCTCTCTCTCCTCGCTTTTCTCTTCTCTCTCTCTCTCTCTGTAACGCCTCTCTCTCTCTCTCTCTCTCTCTCTCTCTCTCTCTCTCTCTCTCTCTCCTCTCTCTCTCTCTCTCTCTCTCTCTCTCTCTCTCTCTCTCTGTATATCTGTAAATTTCACAAATCGGTTTCTATTTATAATGTCTTTCGTCTTCTATCAACTGCTGTCACTATTTGTCATTGTCATTATTGCTATGGTCATTATAAATGATACTGTTATTATTGCTATTATCTTCATCACTGCCATTACGAATATCATTATTATCATTTATGATAATCATCAACAATAATCATCATCATAATCATCACTATAATGATAATAATGATGATAATGATAACGATGATAATGATGATGATTACTGAAGAATACTAGTGATGATGATAATGATGTTCATGTATCAAAAATACTCATATTATGATACGTAAAATGCAATTACCTTGAACGGAAAAGCAATTAATTTTTCTTCTTCAGTGTGCCTGAAATATTGTCCAAGAGCACTTATGTACAGCACACTTTATAAGTATACTGAAGTTCTCATGATAAGTCTTCAACATGGAGTAAGGCCTGGCACCTCGCTGCTCGTAGTTTGAAAGATGGATAGAAATAACATTATGCATCTGCAATGAGTGGCTCTACCTGAGGTCTGTGAGAAACGTCATTTGATTTTGTCTCTTTGTGTGTGTGTATATATATATATATATATATATATATATATATATATATATATATATATATATATATATATATATATATTTTTTTTTTTTTTTTTTTTTCTTCTTTTTCTTTCTTTCTTTCTTCTTTTCTTTTTTCTTTTTTTCTTTCGTTCTTTTTAGGTAAGGTTTTAGTGATAGATCCCTTGCATTCATCAAGTTTCACTGTTGATTACCTATTCAGATTATTTTTTATAGATGATTCACTTACATTCGCATACTTTCACTGGAAAAGCACTAGTATTACTGCTGATTTACTAAAATTCAAATTATTTTTATTTATAATTCACTTACATTCGTATAATTTCACTGGAAAAACACGTGTATTCATAAATTTTGACTGATGATTCATCTGTATTTTTAAAATTTCACTGATTATACCCAACACAGTGAATCATTATATTAATTTACTCATATTCATAAACTTTTACTGATGACTCGCTTGCATTTATAAAAAGGAATCAATGAAGATTTGTATTCATAAATGTTTACAGTGGTTTTCTTTGCTTTCATAAACTTTCATTAATTATTTACTTGTGTTCATACATTCATTTTTTGGGTACTAGCGTTTATAAACTTCAATTGCTGTTTCATTGCATTTCATTTCATTTTAAACTCACTTCCATTCAGATCTCACTGTAAGGTTCACTCGTATTCATAAACATTAATGATTTACTTGCAAGAGCTATTACTGTTCATGCACTTAAATTAATAGCATTTCACTTGCTGATTTCACCTACATTCATAGAACTCACTTTTTGTAAGGTTCACTTGCACTCATATGGACTTCACTTGAGACACTTTATTCATGAACTTACACTACTGATTCACTTTTTATTCATAAAACTTCCACTACTGATTCAGCTGTATCATAAACTCACTACTGATTCAGCTGTATTCATAAACTCACTACTGATTCAAGCTGTATTCATAAACTTTCACTATGATTCAGCTGTATTCAAACTTTCACTACTGATTCAGCTGTATTCATAAACTTTCACTACTGATTCAGCTGTATTCATAAACTTTCACTACTGATTCAGCTGTATTCATAAACTTTCACTACTGATTCAGCTGTATTCATAAACTTTCACTATTGATTCAGCTGTATTCATAAACTTTCACTACTGATTCAGCTGTATTCCTAAACTTTCACTACTGATTCAGCTGTATTCCTAAACTTTCACTACTGATTCAGCTGTATTCCTAAACTTTCACTACTGATTCAGCTGTATTCATAAACTTTCACGACTGATTCAGCTGTATTCATAAACTTTCACTGATTCAGCTGTATTCCTAAACTTTCACTACTGATTCAGCTGTATTCATAAATTTTCACAACTGATTCAGCTGTATTCATAAACTTTCACTATTGATCAGCTGTATTCATAAACATTCACTGGCGATTTCCTTCACACACACACACACACACACCACACACACACACACACACCACACACACACACACCACACGCACGCACACGCACCACACACACACCACACACACACACACCACACACACACACACACACACACACACACCACACACACACACACACGCACGCACACCACCCACACACACACACACACACACACACACACACGCACTCACTTACAAACATTCACATTCTTGTTCGCTCGAGACACTAACTCACCTGAAAGCCTCATTCACCGACATTATTCCTCTCTTATATACTGTCTTAAGGGCCTTCCTGTCGCTGTATTCTTTGCTTTTATTCAAGTTCATTTTTTTTTTTTTTTCTTTTCTTTTTTTCGTTATGTCTATCTTTTTTTTCTTTTGTTTTTCGTTATGTCTATCTTTTTTTTCTTGTTGTTTTCGTTATGTCTATCTTTTTTTCTTTTTGTTTTTTCGTTATGTCTATCTTTTTTTTCTTTTTGTTTTTCGTTATGTCTATCTTTTTTCTTTCTATTTCTATCTATCTAGTTATTCATCTATCCTTCTATATATCTTTCTATCTGTCTAGTTATTCATCTATCCTTCTATATATATCTGTCTATTTATCTATCCTTCTATATATCTATCTGTCTATCTCTATCTATCTGTTTATCTATCTATATCAACCTATCTCTTTGTCTGTCTATCTGTCTATTTATCTATCCTTCTATATATCTATCTATTTATCAAGCTTCTATATATTTATCTATCTCTATCTATCTGTTTATCTATCTATTCTACCTATCTCTCTGTCTGTCAATCTATCTACCTATCTATCAATCCTTCTAAATATCTATTATCTATCTATTTATCTATCTATCAATCCTTCTAAATATCTATCATCTATCTGTCTACCTACTATATATTCAGTCCTTCTAAAATGTCTATTATCTATTTGTCTACCTATCTCTCATTTGTCTATCTACCTATCATCTATCTGTCTACCTATCTCTCATTTGTCTATTCTACCTATCATCTACTGTCTATCCATCTATCCATCTACCAATCTATCTATCTACCTATCATCTATCTGTCAATGCATCCATCCATCTACCAATCTATCCTATCTATCTACCTACCATCATCTATCCATCCATCCATTCTACCAATCTATCCATCTATCTACCTATCATCTATCTGTCTATCCATCCATCCATCTACCAATCTATCTATCATCTACTATCATCTATCTGTCTATCCATCCATCCATCCATCTCAAATCTATCTATCTACTACCTATCATCTATCTGTCTATCCATCATCCATCCATCTACCAATATACTATCTACCTATCATCTGCCTACCCATCCATCATCCATCTACCAATCTATCTATCTACCTATCATCTATCTGTCTATCCATCCATCCATCCATCTACCATCTATCTATCTACCTATCATCTATCTGTCTATCCATCCATCCATCCATCTACCAATCTATCTATCTACCTTTCATCTGTCTATCCATCCATCCATCTACCAATCTATCTATCTACCTATCATCTATCTGTCTATCCATCCATCCATCCATCTACCAATCTATCTATCTATCTACCTATCATCTATCTGTCTATCCATCCATCCATCCATCTACCAATCTATCTATCTATCTACCTATCATCTATCTGTCTATCCATCCATCCATCTACCAATCTATCTATCTATCTACCTATCATCTATCTGTCTATCCATCCATCCATCCATCTACCAATCTATCTATCTACCTATCATCTATCTGTCTATCCATCCATCCATCCATCTACCAATCTATCTATCTACCTATCATCTATCTGTCTATCCATCCATCCATCATCCATCTACCATTCTATCTATCTATCTACCTATCATCTATCTGTCTATCCATCCATCTACCAATCTATCTATCTACCTATCATCTATCTGTCTATCCATCCATCTACCAATCTATCTATTATCTACCTATCATCTATCTGTCTATCCATCCATCCATCATCTACCAATCTATCTATCTATCTACCTATCATCATCTGTCCATCCATCCATCCATCCATTACCAATCTATCTATCTACCCATCATCTATCCATCCATCCATCCATCCATCTACAACCTATCTATCTACCTATCATCTATCTGTCATCCATCCATCCATCCATCCCCAATCTATCTATCTATCTACCTATCATCTATCTGTCTATCCATCCATCCATCCATCTACCAATCTATCTATCTATCTACCTATCATCTATCTGTCTATCTACCAATCTATCTATCTACTACCTATCATCTATCTATCTATCTACCTATCATCTATCTGTCTATCCATCCATCCATCCATCTACCAATCTATCTATTCTTTTCACTTTTGCTCGCAGCCAATCCCTCTCTTGAGCATCACCTTAAGGCAAAATTATGAGATTGTGGCAACATATCTTCCTGAGGGGATGCCATGCATACGATTTTTTTTTTCTTTTATTATTATCATTTTTGGATGTTTTGCCTTTTAGTTCCGATTTTTTTTCTTTTTTTATTAATCATCATTTTTTGTATGTTTTGCCTTTTGGTTCCGATTTTTTCCTTTTTATTATTATCAGTTTTGTATGCCTTGCCTTTTTGTTGTGACTTGATAAAATTATAGCTCAGGTTAAGTGATGTTTTATGCTAATGCATCGACTGCATTTACGTAAGATATGTTATGCTATAAATTTGCTCTTTAATGCAATAGATAATTGAATAGATTGATAAACATGTAAACACAAATTAATTAATAAACAAAACATTAAAAAGATGGATTGGCAATAATTGATCAGGAAGGTTCAACATTTCTTTCAACATTTTCACAAACATACAAAGAACACCTTTTCTGTCAGACCTGTCTTTGAACAAACATCGTAGTCCTGTGAAACCGTTCCTGACTGTCATGGGGATCTGTTTGTTTGTTTTGTTGTTTTTATTTATTTTTTTTATGGTGAGTTATTTCACTTGGGAAAAGTATCATGTTTGTTTTTAATTTATTTATTGATGAGGGTTATTTTTCACTTGGGAAAAAGTATCATGAACCTTTTCAATGGAGTTAAAGTTTCGGAACCAAGCAAGTCTGAGAAATATTTCACACATTAATTGTTGCATAGACTAACTTTTAACACGAAAGAATTTATTGACCGTTTATAAAATCAAGAATACGTAGGGACGTGAATGCGAGCTAGTAGCAGCAGTAGTATAGCAATAGTAGTAGTAGTAGTAGTAGCAGTAGTAGCAATAGTAGTAGTTGTAGCAATAGTAGTAGTAGTTAGTAGCAATAGTAGTGTGGCAATAGTAGTAGTAGCTGAAGCAGTCGTAGTAGCAGCAGCAATATACTAGACACCAACAAACCTACACGATAACCAAAGATCTGGAGAGTAGATAAGAACGAAAAATACATGTTCACATCCTAACGAAAAAGAAGAGGGAAAGCGGTATTTATTTACAGATACTGAGCACTCGATGCGATCCGACGTCCACATTTTCCAGGAATTTTAAAAAGCGAGCGGGTTTAATCCCCCCCCCCCTTTAGCGTGCGTTTTGTTCACTCGTGGAAATGCTGAAAAAAAAATTGAAAGAGTGAACAAAACCCATTCGGGGGGGGGGGAGGCCTAAACCCGCTCGCACACTTTTTAAAATTTTATGAAATAAATGAATAGACAAATTGATAAACAGGCATCTGAGAAGAAAAAGAAAAACATGAACTGATTAATAATAAATGAATAGACAAGTTGATAAACAAGTGTCTGAACAGAAAAAAAAACATGAACTGAATTAATAATAATAAAAACAAACATTGATAATTCTGTAAAGACGATTAGATGACAAACTGTTGCTCTACGTCCCCCCCCCCCCTTCCTTTGGTAACTGAATTCCCTGCTGGAAATTTCTCATTTCTCGTCTAAGATGGAACACTGCATTTTTCCTGCCTTTTTTTTTTTCTTTTTTTTTCTTTTTTTTAATGAAATGTCGGAAATTATAGCAGAGAACGAGGGAGGGAAAAGTTATTGAAAGAGAGGTGGAAATGCATTTCAAAGAGGTACACATACACGCGCACACTCTCACTCACGTGCATACACACTCACAACACACACACACACACACACACACACCACACCACACACACACACACACACACACCACACACACACACACACAGTGAAGAACAGAGTATTCCCAAGAACACTATTTTATAAAATAATGAAAATGTTGACTTTTGGTCGTAACTTCATATTTGTTTGTTTATGATACACGTTTCGATTATTTTTATTAGTGTATTTTACATAATTTGTACTTATATGTAATTCATCATCTTTATTTTATTTTTATTTATATTGCTGTGCTGCGTCCTTGTATGCATTTCTATATTCTAATGTAAATATATAAATGTACCCTATACTTCTATATTACTTATAGGATTAAATATTGAAATGTTTATTTAATCTACGATTTATTTATTAATTTATCTATTTTACGATTTATTAATTCAGTTGTTTATTTAAATATTTATTCATGTATTTATCTATTTATATATCTGCTTATTCTCCTGAAGGGTAATGAGATGCATTTTTTTTTACTTATTTTACGATTTATTCAGTCTGTAATTTAGCTTAAAAGTATTAATTTACTTATATATTTATTCATCGATTTTCATTTACTTATTGTCCCAAAGCAGTAATGATATGCATTTGTCTTGTTCACTTGTAAATGAAAATGATGTTCCTTTTTGTCTTTCTAGTTTATTAGTTAATCCACATTTTACAAAATTATCTACTGTTAATTATTCAAAAGCAGAATATTTATATCGACAGAAAATCTTGGATGTTCTTAATCCATGTACTCAGTATAGCAGTCTATTTTAGGAAAACGTGTGGACTGTTTTTAGGGGGTAACTGATTTAAAATATCAAAACACGTTATTTATTTATCTCACCGAGGTACTGTCACCTAATTGACTGGTCTTGAGACATATTTAATATGAATTATAAAGACTGTACTGAGGTCAATATTGGTAAGAATCTTCTAAGAACGTAGGTCAATTTGTGAAATTCTTTGTCTGAGAAACTATCACAGTACACACCAGACTGCAGAGTCGCGCAAAAATTATTTGGTCAATTTCTGTCCGCGCAAATGGAGTTCTCGGGTGACTTTCCGCGCACGCTTAGTTCTCTTTTTTTTTTTTAATCATCTTCCGTGCATAAAATTCTTTTCGACTTTTCGCGCACTTTGCTTCATCATCCCGTCCGCAATCTTCGCGCAAATGTAAACAAAATGATGTTTTCCGCGCATAAAAAATTGTAATATTCCCCGCGCAGGAAAAATACTCTACAGTCTGGAGTACACTTAAATTTTGGCTTTTTGAGGGATTATTTCTTGTTTAAAAAGCCAGTCGATGGAAAAGGGAATACTGCTAAATTTCAAATTAACCTAAATAGTAGAAGAGAAAAAAAGATCAAGTTCAAGTATTTTGCGCATATGTTAAAATAATTTGGAATAAAAGTACCTAAAGTAATAATTAGTTTGCCTCCATTCGACTTAGATAAATACCTTAATATCAATATTATTGGTTTTAAAAGCTGAAAATAACTGAGGTCGATTTAGTCAACAGAGGCAAAATATCACTTATTTGGACTCACTGAAATATTCTCGATCATCTTACTGAAGCCAAGAATATCACGAGAATAAAATGATGATATAAAAAAGAAGAAGAAGAAAAAAAGCAAAAAACACGTTATACAGTTATCATATGACTAATCCTGGTAATTTTTTATGGCAAATGCAAGACGTATATTATTTCAAACATGTGACAGTTTCATTTCAAGTTTGTGAAAGGAGGAGGAGGATAGGAGAAGAAAGAAGAAGAACAACAACCAAAGAGAAGAAGAAGAACAAGAACAACAACAACAACAACAACAACAACAAAACAACAACAAAACAACACAAAACAACAACAAGGAGAAAAGAAGAAAAAGAAGGAGGAGGAGAAAAGGAGGAGAAGAAAAAGAAGGAGAAGGAGAAGAAGAAGGAGAAAAGACGAAAAGGAGGAAAGGAGAAGGACGAAAAAGGAAAGAGAAGGAAAGTAGAAGAACGAAAAGGAGAAGGAGAGAGAGAAGATGATATGACATGATAATTAGATCATGAAGAGAGGGAGAAGGAATAGAAAACAGGATAGGCACTCAACCCACGAAGGTCAGAATGATAGATTGGGAAATTTAAGGAGAATAAGATAAAAGCAGAGAGGGAGAAGGAGGTGCTGACGAAATGAGATGAAGGAGGAGGAGAAGGAAAATGTTAGAGCAGGTTATTGATTCTCTTTCCTCCACCAACTCAATTAGGTCATAAGGAAAGAGCAAAGATATACAGACTTATAAGAGAAATATCCCTCTGAAAATACGGCTTTAAAAAAACACAAAAAAACTTAGGACAGTGAAGGTAGCAGATGGACAGAACCAAAGGAGAATAAAATAAAGCACTTGGAAAACACTAACGCTGATAAAGTTGGTATTAAAAATGCCCAAAAATCGAAATTTGAATGGCAAATCATGCCTGAATTCCCTCGTTGGAATCTGCGTCTGCCGAAAACACGTTTATTGCCTCCTCTATTTCCTTTGCAAAACAGCCGGAATTGCCAATATCAAGCTCATGTATGACTTTCATTCATTTGCTCTCTCATTAATTTTCGACAAGGAAAGTGTTGGCAATTGGACTATCCGGGCTTGCATTTACATTTTTTTTCTCTCTTTCTATGCCCTTCGCTGTTGCAAAGTCGTTGACGACGATGCTTTAGCCAATTTAATGTAACCTGCTGCAAGCTTTCATTTCCGGTATGGATTCTTAATATGCAGTATTCAGTTTAAGTATTTATATGACCGGTAGCACCACGCATCTCAATGAAAAGAGCACTTGGCAACTGTGAAGCCAAGCCCCACCCCCTTGTCACTTTTAAAATCCATTTGTCAATTATTTTATACCACTGTCATTATTCGACCATTTCCAAAGAGTATATAATGAGGAAATATCTATCAATGTATCATACAGATATTAGGAGTGAAGGTGACCAAGCTAAGACTTTAGCCAAAGCTGAAGCATTTAGCCAGAGAGGGAGCTCCATACGTAATCAGATGCAGCTAGATCAACGGTTGTATGATTTAGTCAATATTATTAAGAATACCAGAAGGAAGAACAAAATTTCCAATGAATACCCTATATGAATTAGTCAATATTATTACGAATAACAGAAGGAAGAACAAAATTCCCACTCTATTATTTATGATATCCATTATGACAGCCACTTTGGGGGAGAAAAAATAACAATCCATCAACGTTTTCTTCTGTCTTTTCTTTTCTTATTCTCACCCATCATGCACCTCAAGTAAAGCAAGACGTTGAGGATAAGAATAGAAGTTTGATCATCTCGTGGGATTTTGATATCAATTTTATCTTTAGGGCCTATGCAGCATAGGGGAAAATACCACGAATTCAAAGTTTTGTTGAGCCCCTCGTCTCTGTAGGATTAAAAGGTCAAGTATTATTTTTTTATTTTTTATTATTATTATTTTTTTTTTTGTTACCTTTACCCTTGAAATCGCATCAATTTACTGCCAGGGTTATGCAAACTCGTGACTTTCCTGATGAAATAAGTCGTCTCTTTCAAAACTGCGTAAGGTAACTTTGGGTATCTTTCTTGGCCAAGCAAACCTTCCTAGCTTACACAATACTAGAGTAATGCTAAAACTAGTGTGTTCAGTCCGAATTGAACCTAATCGTAGATGTATTGATATTACAATGAAAGTCTTCCTTGCCATTGTTAGTTGTATTCCTTGTCTTTATCGTCATCTTAACATCCAAACTAGTTGACAGATTCACCCTTTTTATATGAATTCTATGTTACATTAATCATCACACTAGCTTCTCCCTTGTTCAGTAGATCACCGTATTTCATTGAGGTAAAAATAGATAATGTAAAAAAAAATAGGTAATTCAATATAATTCTGAAGGACAAGTAAATGAAAATGTGTTGCAATCTAAAGCAAGTAATTGTGCATTTTACAAGTAAAATAGAGCTAAAAGTTGAAACACCCTTCTCATGTCCATTCTGCAGTTATCCTAGTTCATAGTATCATTCTAACTAGTTACAATTGCAAGTCGGGTAGAGCTATGCCTTTGGTAAAAAAAAAAAAAAAAAAAAAAAAAAAAAAAGTGTCAAATGTTAAATCCCAATTATTAATTTATGAAACTATTTTAACCATATTCTTATTGGGAATCCATTTACAAATGCGGTCCTGTGTAAAAGGTACAAAACGGACCTCCTAACTGTTGACACCTGCATTTATTCCTATGCTTACATACAATATTGATATTTCTCTCTTCTCTCTCTCTCTTCTTCTCTCTCTCTCTCCTCTTCTCTCTCTCTCTCTCCTCTTTTCTTCTTTGCGATTTAGGTGAAGCGGACCCTGTGTTTACTTCTGGAGGCCTCAAAGTCACGCTTCGAACCCGCAAGCAAAGATCCGAAGCTTCGTCTGCCTTTCCCGACCCTGACGGCATGTACGATGCTGGTTTCGCTCACCGACCGAAGCTTCATTTCAAGGTTTGTTTGTGATTCGAATCCGACGGGGAAATTTTCGTGTGGAATTTCTTTGCTTTTATATGATTTTTTTTTTTTCAATATTTTGGTGTGTCTCTCTCTTTCTTTCTCTCTCTCTCTCTCTCTCTCTCTCTCTCTCTCTCTCTCTCTCTCTCTCTCTCTCTCTCTCTCTCTCTCCCTCTCTCTGTCTCTCTCTNAGAGAGAGAGAGAGAGAGAGAGAGAGAGAGAGAGAGAGGAGAGAGAGAGAGAGAGAGAGAGAGAGAGAGAGAGAGAGAGAGAGCGTGTCCCCCCCTGTTCACGAATGCCCCTGTCTCCCCAGGCGCGCAGCAAGTCCTCCAGCGACAAGGGCCTCACCGAACGGCCACCTGCAGTCGCTGCAACAGCCTGGGCGGCTAACCACAGCGCCCACATGCTGCAGCCGCGAGGAGCCCGGCACCCTACCACGTCACGATCCCCACCACCAGCTTATGACGTCCGGCGCCGTGCCCCCTGAGCCCCCCTCCTCGCCCGGGCCTCCTCAAGGGCTCGGAGCCGCGCGTCAGCTTCCATCTTCCGGACGCAGCAGGGCCTCGTCCGCCGCCGGCGCCTTGACCCCGACCCGCAGCGACAGCATCTCGTGGGAGACGGAGAAGCGAGACATGAAGAAGCTGAAGTCGCGGGAGGGCGCGCCGGAAGGGGCGGAAGGACAACCCCGAGGGCTCGCAGAGGGGCGTCTCGGAGGACGGGGGGAGCGGCTGCAGCCTCCGGGGGGTGTCCTCGGGCACGATCGACGCGGACATCCACACGTGGTCCACCAACATGACCGACTACGACGGCGGGGCGTCCTGCTCCTCCTCCAGCGCCCTCCGCACCTCCCACCCGTCCATCCACGCCCTCGACCACGCCCACCCGACCTCGCCCCGGGAGGAGTACGAGCCCCGCCTCTGCGGCGCAGGCTGAGCGGCCACCACCTCTCCGCAGCGACCTCCTGGCTGGACGAACAGCAGGTGACACGTCTCCCTACCATCTCCCTGTTTTAGCTTCGCATTCCTCCTTCTCTTCTTCCCTTCCTTCCAGTTCCCTTTTTTCGCGGAATCGTCCTATGAACATACCTCGCTTCTCCCGTAGGATGTGATCTCGCCCTCGGACTAATCCCGTTTCTTCTCTTGTGTTATTCTATACGAAGGAGACTGTATGTGTGACTTACGTTCATTTGTATAAAAGAATTTGCTCATGAAAATATAAGGTAGATCCTTTATTGTAAAAAATATATAAATAATAAAATAAATAAAATATATAAAGGGTAATAAAGTAATACATTAAAATCACAGTGCCAAAAATTCAGTATTTTAGTGGTAAGAATTTTCCACTCGATGAAAAAGAAAAAGGATATTGATAGAACATTGCAATATCCTTTCCAGTTAATTGAAAGAAAAAAGAAAGAAAGATATTTAAAAGAAAGAAATTCTGATACGTCTAAAGGAATCAGTTTCATAATTTCAGTCATTAATTTAGATATCAAAAAGACTTTCCTGAGAGAAGGATAAATGAAATTCATGAAACTTCCACCACAGAAAGGAAACGCACAAATCTTTTGTAATTTTGTATGTACTTCTTAAAGAATACAGTGGTTCAAGTGGGTCTTCAAAGTACACTGACTGACCCCGCTATTTCGGAGGCTGTAAATAATTCTTTTCTAGAGAGCTAAACCAGTGTATTTTAGAGGAGATTTGAGGGAGTAAATAGCTAGACTGCATGAGCTTCTGGGGTTGATACCCTATACATACGTGGATATACTCTTTCTCTCGCTTTCTGTCTGTCTGTCTGTCTGTATGTCTGTCTGTCTCTCTCTCTCTCTCTCTCTCTCTCTCTCTCTCTCTCTCTCTCTCTTCTCTCTCTCTCTCTCTCTCCTCTCTCTCTCTCTCTCTCTCTTCACACACACACACACACAACAACACACACACACAGCACACACACACACACACACACACACACACACACACACACACACACACACACACACCACTCATATATAGACAAATGTACGCACGCACGCATTGTGGTGTGTGTGTGTGTGTATATATATATATATAATATATATATAATATATATATTTATATATATATATATATGCATATATATATGCATTATATATATATATATATATATATATATATATATATATATATATATATATATGTATGAATA